GAAACGTGCAGGCCATAGTGGATGGCTTTGCTGCAATGGGATTCCCAAACTGCGGCGGGGCGATAGACGGAACCCATATTCCTATCTTGTCACCGGAGCACCCGGCCACCGAGTACATAAACCACAAGGGGTACTTTTCAATGCTGCTACAAGCTCTGGTGGATCACAAGGGACGTTTCACCAACATCAACGTGGGATGGCCGGGAAAGGTACATGATGCTCGCGTCTTCAGGCACTCTGGTCTGTTTCGAAAGCTGGAGGAAGGGACTTTCTTCCCGGACCAGAAAATAACCATTGGGGATGTTGAAATGCCTATCGTGATCCTTGGGGACCCAGCTTACCCCTTAATGCCATGGCTCATGAAGCCATACACAGGCAGCCTGGACAGTAGTCAGGACCTGTTCAACTACAGGCTGAGCAAGTGCCGAATGGTGGAGGAATGTGCATTTGGACGTTTAAAAGAGTGCTGGCGCAGTTTACTGACTCGGAGAGACCTCAGCGAAGCCAATATTCCAATTGTTTTGATTGCTGCTTGCTGTGTGCTCCACGATATCTGTGAGAGTAAGGGGGAGACATTTATGGCGGGGTGGGAGATTGAGGCAAATCGCCTGGCCGCTGATTACGCGCAGCCAGACACCAGGGCGGTTAGAAGAGTACAGCAGGGCGCGTTGTGCATTAGAGAAGCTTTGAAAACGAGTTTTGTGACTGGCCAGGCTACGGTGTGAAACTTCTGTTTGCTTCTCCTTGATGAACCCTCTGCCCCCACCACCCGGTTCACTTTACTTCCCTGAAATTAACCACCGTCCCCTCCCCCCTTCGAGCACTGCTTGCAGAGGCAATAAAGTCATTGTTACTTCACATTCATGCATTCTTTATTAATTTATCACTCAACTAGGGGGATAATTGCCAAGGTAGCCCGGGATGGGTGGGGGAGGAGGGAAGGAAAAGGACACACTGCAGTTTAAAACTTTAACTCTTATTGAAGGCCAGCCTTCTGATGCTTGGGCAATCATCTGGGGTGGAGTGACTGGGTGGCCAGAGGCCCCCCCACCGTGTTCTTGGGCGTCTGGGTGAGGAGGCTATAGAACTTGGGGAGGAGGGCTGTTGGTTACACAGGGGCTGTAGCGGCGGTCTCTGCTCCTGCTGCCTTTCCTGCAGCTCAACCATACGCTGGAGCATATCAGTTTGATGCTCCAGCAGCCGAAGCATTGACTCTTGCCTTCTGTCTGCAAGCTGATGCCACCTATCATCTTCAGCCCGCCACTTGTTCTGTTCATCCCGCGATTCAGCCCGCCACCTCTCCTCTCGTTCATATTGTGCTTTTCTGTAGTCTGACATTGACTGCCTCCACGCATTCTGCTGTGCTCTGTCAGCATGGGAGGCCATCTGGAGCTCCGAGAATATATCATCCCGAATCCGCCGTTTTCTCCTTCTAATCTTCACTAGCCTCTGTGAAGGAGAAACATTTGCAGCTGGTAGAGGAGAAGGGAGAGGTGGTTAAAAAAGAAACATTTTAGAGAACAATGGGTACACTCTTTCACGTTAAATTTTGCTGTTCACATTACACAGCACATGTGCTTTCATTACGAGGTCGCATTTTTCCTCTTATATTGAGGGCCTGCCGGTTTGGTGTGAGAGATCACTCACGCAGTGCCAGGCAACAGATTTCGGCTTGCAGGCAGCCATGGTAAGCCACAATCTTTTGGCTTTTTTAACCTTCTTAACATGTGGGAATGGTTTCAAACAGTAGCGCCCTCATTTCCCATACCAAGCACCCGTTGGGTTGGCCATTTAAAATGGGTTTGCAATGTAAAAGGAGGGGCTGCGGTTTCCAGGTTAACATGCAGCACAAACCCAACTAACCCCCCTCCCCGCACCCAATTCTCGGGGATGATCACTTCACCCCTCCCCCCCACCGCGTGGCTAACAGCGGGGAACATTTCTGTTCAGCCGAGCAGGAACGGGCACCTCTGAATGTCCCCTTAATAAAATCACCCCATTTCAACCAGGTGACCGTGAATTATATCACTCTCCTGAGGATAACAAAGAGCGATAAGGAATGGATGTTGTCTGCATGCCAGCAAACACCGGGACCATACGTTGCCATGCTTTGTTATGCAATGATTCCAGACTACGTGCTACTGGCCTGGCGTGGTAAAGTGTCCTACCAGGGCGGACGGGATAAGGCAGCCCTCCCCAGAAACCTTTTGCAAAGCCTTTGGGAGTACATGAAGGAGAGCTTTCTGGAGATGTCCCTGGAGGATTTCCGCTCCATCCCCATAAACATTAACAGACTTTTCCAGTAGCTGTACTGGCCGCGATTACCAGGGCAAATTAATCATTAATCATTAAACACGCTTGCTTTTAAACCATGTGTAATATTTACAAAAGTACACTCACCAGAGGTCCCCTGTGTGCCCTCAGGGTCTGGGAGCACGCCATGGGTGAGTTCGGGGGTTACTGGTTCCAGGTCCAGGGTGATAAACATATCCTGGCTGTTGGGGAAACCGGTTTCTCCGCTTCCTTGCTGCTGTGAGCTATCTACATTATCTTCATCCTCATCTTCCTCGTACCCCGAACCCGCTTCCCTGTGTGTTTCTCCATTGAAGGAGTCAAAGCACACGGTTGGGGTAGTGGTGGCTGCACCCCCTAGAATGGCATGCAGCTCCGCGTAGGAGTGGCATGTTTGCGGCTCTGCCCCGGATCTTCCGTTTGCCTCTCTGGCTTTGTGGTAGGCTTGCCGTAGCTCCTTAATTTTCACGCGGCACTGCTGTGCGTCCCTGTTATGGCCTCGGTCCTTCATGGCCTTGGAGACCTTTTCTAATATTTTGCCATTTCGTTTACTGCTACGGAGTTCAGCTAGCACTGATTCATCTCCCCATATGGTGAGCAGATCCCGTACCTCCCGTTTGGTCCATGATGGAGCTCTTTTGCGATCCTGGGACTCCATCACGGTTACCTGTGCTGATGAGCTCTGTGTGGTCACCTGTGCTCTCCACGCTGGGCAAACAGGAAATGAAATTCAAACGTTCGCGGGGCTTTTCCTGTCTACCTGGTCAGTGCATCTGAGTTGAGAGTGCTGTCCAGAGCGGTCACAATGAAGCACTGTGGGATAGCTCCCGGAGGTTAATAACGTCGAATTCCGTTCACACTACCCCAATTCCGACCCGCTAAGGCTGATTTTATTGCTAATCCCCTCGTTGGAGGTGGAGTAAAGAAACCGGTTTAAAGGGCCCTTTAAGTCGAAAAAAGGGACTTAGCCGTGTGAACGTGTCCAGGCTTAATTTGATTTAATGCTGCTAAATTCGACCTAAACTCGTAGTGTAGACCAGGCCTCAGAGTCAGGGCTGACCCCAGTGACCCTGTCCAGTGCTAGGGCATGCTGTATTGAAGGAAGCAGGATGGGGGGGCTCAGTAGTGGGTGCTCTCCCCTCAAGGTCAGTGGTGGCCCCAATGACAGTGTAGTCTTTGGGCGTACTGTATTGCAGGGAGCGGGGTGGGGGCTCAGTAGGGGGCGCTCTCCTCTCCCAGTTAACACTGGCTGCAGTGCACGACCCTGCTGCTGAGTGATGCTGTGCGACAGGGAGCAGGGCAGGTGACTCTGTAGGGGTCGCTCCTCACTAGGAGTCAGTGCTGACTGGCGTGTCACACCCCAGTACATGTACATTGTCACCCCTCACATGCACGCTGTCCCTCTCACAGCCGCACACAAACACTGTGGGTAAGATACACCCTGAGACGTGGTGCCCAGGCCCCTTGTGGGGGGACTCAGAGCACCTGGAGGAGCAATATGAGCATGGGAACATCTAGATTTGGGTTCACCCTGTCACACACTCAGTCACACATCCCATCACATGCTCACAGTCATACACACTGTCACACCCCATCTCACACACACAGTCACACAAACCATCACACACGCTCAAAGTCACACACACTGTCACACCCCATCACTCGCTCAGTCACACACTCCATCTCACACACACTGTAACACACAATCACACAAACCATCACACACGCACGGCCACACACAGTCACATGCTCACTTTCACGCACCCAGTCACACACCTCATCACACCCCATCATATGCTCAGTCACACACCCCATCACATGCTCAAAAGTCATATACACTGTCACACCCCATCTCACACACACTGTAACACACTCCCAGTTACACAAACCGTCACACACAGTCACATCCTCACAGTCACACCCCCAGTCACACTCCATCACATGCTCAGTCACACACCCCGTCACACCCCATCTCTCACACACACTGTAACACACAGTCCCAAAAACCATCAATGCTCACAGTCACACATACCCCATCACACCCTTTCACACCCCATCACATCCTAACAGTCGCACCATCACAGTGCACTCACTGTTACAGGCTCATTGTCACACACTGTTGCTCCCTGTGTCACACGCTCACACCCAGGTGGACTCATGTTAACCCTCCCTCCCTGGCTGTTTCTAATCCTTCTCTGGTTTTGCTCATTCTGCAGATGGTCCCTCTGTGTCTGGCACCAGAGGCAGATGTTGCCGGCACAGGCAACCTGCCCTGCCCCCGCCCCTGCTGCCTGGCCAGACCTGGGATGTTCTCTCACTAGGGATGCCAATTTTGGTTGGATGTATTTCTGGAGGCTTCATCACATGACATAATCTTTAATTAAAGATCAATCTTTAATTCCTGGGGACTCCCGGGCAATCCTGGAGGGTTGGCAACCCTACCTCTCACTTGAGACGCCGTGTGGCAAGCGGGCGCCTGGTCTGGGCTTGTGGCTGGTGCAGAGGGAGGGGCCGGCAGCCTGGCAGCTGCACACACCACACAGGGCGAGTAGGCATCTCCCTGCTACCAGGTCACTGGCACCCGCTGCTGCTTTAGGTGTAAGCTCTGCAGGTGGGTTGAGGCCCCATTAAAAGCTTTGAGGCCGGCTGTTGCCAACCTCCCTCCCAAGCCCTGAGCTTAGAGAGCTGCCCGTCAGGCCTCCCTGTGCAAGAGGGATGCAGGGCGACAGGCCCAGCTGGCAGGAAAGCCCACGCCAGGCGAGCCAGGGTTAATTACCAGGTAGGCACAGGAGGGAGCGGGCGGCAGCTCACACTCACGGCTTGGAGCCACTCACTCACCTCCTCACTCACCCCAAAGGCATCCTCCTTGCAGGAGGAACACCCAGCCCCAGCAGATAAAAGCAGCCCCAAGACGCTCTGCTTCCCTGTCTCCGAGCTCCCCATCCAGGATCGTCTCTCTTCTCTGCTGCTCTGGATGCGCTGGGAGAGGCTGCAGGACCATGGCTGGGCGAGGGACTGTCCAGCTCCTCTTCTTGTGTCTAACGCCAGGTAGGCTCCTCCGAGGAACCCCTCAGGCCCTCCCCAGATCAGCGACAGGGAGCGTGGTGAGGAAGGCGAAGCCCCTGGCCCAGTGCAGATTGCAATGGGCAAACCAGCTGGGGTAAATAAGACCCGGCCTGACCAGCAGCTTCACCCAGACCCACCCCAACTCAGCATCTGGGAGAGGGTGGGAATGCCAGTGAACTTGGCTCTAAACCCTCCTCCTTCCCAATGGCTCCCAGTCTAGCAATGTAGGGCTCATCTACATGGGGAAATTGCCCAGCATAGCTGCAGTGGAATAACTCCTGTGCTGTAGCCTGTGAGCTCCTTGGGGCAGGAACTGTCTCTTTATTTTGCATTTGCACAGCCCTGACCACCCTGGGGCCTGGTCCCTGGCTGGGGCTGCTAGGCGCTATGATAATACACCTAATAAATAATGTACAGCTCCTTGCACCATGGGGCCTGGTCCCTGGATGGGGCTGTTAGGTGCTACAGTAATACACCTAATAAGTAATAACAATAATAGCTGTGCTGGAATAACTTCCCTGTGGGGACACTTGATTCCAGAATAACAGGGAGTTCATTATGGAATAGGAGCGATTATACTGGAATACAATCATTCTTGTTCTGGAGCAGCGTTCACACCGGGCAGTTTAGCAGGCAGAGCTAGAGCCAAATAGTTATTCCCCTGTAGCCGTGTTGCTGTGCCGGTCACTTGTCACCTGTGTACTCAAGCCCTTAGTGCATCACAAAAGTGCTCCAGCTCCATAAATCGGGCACTTCCCATATGGAGCAGCGCTGACAAAATGCAGCAAGAGAGAAACCTCTTATGGTCCGTCTACACTGGAGCTGGAGGTGTAATTTCCAGATCAGGTCGGTGGACACAGAATAGTTTTGATTGAGCTAGTGTACTACAGCAGTGGTTCTCAACCTTTCCAGGCTACTGTCCCCTTTTCAGGAGGTTGATTTGTCTTGTGTACCCCAAGTTTCACCTGACTTAAAAACTACTTGCGTGCAAAATCAAACATAAAAATACAGAAGTGTCACAGCCCACTACTACTGAACAATGGCTGACTTTCTCATTTTTACCATATCATTATAACATAAATCGATTGAAATATAAATATTGTACTTACATTTCCTTGCATAGTACATAGAGCAGTATAAACAAGTCATTGTATGGAATTGTAGTTGGTACTGAATTCGCTACATGTAGCCTCTTGTAAAACTAGGCAAATATCTAGATGAGTTGATGTATCTCTGTGTACCCCCGGGGGTTCATGTACCCCTGGTTGGGAACCATTGTGCTACACAGAGCAGTGTAGATGCCACGGCATGTGTGGTAGGAGATTTGGGATAACTACCCCCAGTTCGGTCCCACCCAGGACTCCGGGTGCTTGCTCAGGTGGCTAGCCCATCCCACCGTCTGTGCTGCCAGAGCTACGCTGCTATTTTTAGTGCGCCGGCTGCTTGATCAAAGCTAGCATATGTGTATCTACCTGAGCTAGAATCCCCTCAGCTGCAGCAGGAGTGACCATCAGCCAACAGCACCCTTCTCCCGCGCATGTTCCCTTCCGGCTCTGTCCTCCCACATAGCGACACTGGTGAGGGCCCTTTGCACCTGGATTACACTGCACCTAGAAAGTGCTCTGCGAAGAGTCACTAATTAATTACACAACAATGAAACACTGGGGAGGTCCCTCAGGCTGGTAGCAGGCTGCTCTCCCAGAGTACTAAGGCTGGGTGTGTTCTTGCTGAAACTGGCAACTTTAAAAGTCAGTTGAGTGAAATTGTTCACGTCATCCGCTGGGGGCTTTGTGCAGGACGCTGCCCTCTGGTGGCTGGAATGTGTTGGACTGGCACACTCGTGTGCCCCTTGCTGCACGGAATTTCAGATCAAGCCCCAGCATCCCCGGTGTGGCTCCCCCTAGGGGCTGTCTCAGTTCACTGGCCTGCAGTAATTACTAACCAGAGATCACCCCAGGGGCACTGGCCTCAGACACAGGGCAAAACCCACCCTGCTTCGCTGTATTCTGACAGGGCCAAGCGGATCCTTGCAGCAAATACCGAGAAATAGAGCCCAGCTCCAGTGAAAAGAGCCCATCTCTGCCCAGGGCACAGCCTAGTCCCTGCGTGGATAATGCCCCCCTATCTTCTAAAAGCTGATGGGACATGCTTCCCCCAGAGCCCCTTGTCTGACAATCTGCTCACTTGCTCCCACACTGGCAGGCCACTGGACTGGCTCCCTGCACAGCTGGCTCTGGGCACTGCGGGAAGGGCTCAGTCTCCGCAGCAGGCGCCCGGGGACTCCTCCCGCTCTTTGCAGATGCTCTGCCCAGCACTAGTCTGTCTGTCCTGTCCTGATGGGCAGCTCTGTCTGTCTGTCCCTCAGCTCTGCTGGAGGCTGTGCGGATCAATGCAAAGGGCCAGCAGGTGCTGTACCTGGCCCAGGGGGACTCTGTGAGGCTGGGCTGCCCCTATATCCTGGAGCCTGAGGACAATGGACCCACCAACCTGGACATCGTATGGACCATGGTGAACCCTGACCAGAGGCTGCCGGTGAGTCTGAGCCCTGTCCCTCATCCCACTTTCTTAGCAAGGCCCATCAAATGCCTGGTTGGAATCTGTGCTGGGAGCAGGACCCCTGGGGTCTGTTTCCAGCTTTGCCCCTGGCTTCCTGGGACACCTTGGCCAAGTTTCTGCCCCTGCCTTTGCCTCAGTTCCCCTCCCCCCCATGGGGGAGGGGGCACATGGGCTGCTACCCCCTGCCCAGCACTGGGTCCTTGCTCAGATTCCATCTCCCGCGGATCCAGTCAGATTGCAGAGACCCCTGGGCGCTGCCCCCTCTGCCAACCTGGCTGACGGCACCCTGCCACCCTTCCTCACCCTTACGTGTGTGCATATTCTCAAGCCTCCCCTGGGCGCAGCCCCAGCAGCAGGTTCGGGTCCCCCCCAGGGTCCATTGAATTGTCCTGTCCCAGCTGCCCCTGTGACTTGCCCCAGCAAGAGGCCTCCCTCAAGAGGGGCTGTCACTCTCTGCTCCTGGAGCCATGACTCCTTCCCCCGGGCCCTGCACTTCCGCCTTTCACAGAATCCCTTACATCCCCCCCTCCCCATGCCTGGACACTGAGCTCACCTTGCTTGGGCTCCACCAGCCTCTCCACGCCCAGTCGGCCCCAGTCCCTGGGCCAGGGCATTTCCCGCCCCTGCCCCCCCACACCCACTGCCATCAGTGTAGACCGGGGGGGGGTCTCAAACTTCATTGCCCCACAATCCACTTCTGACAACAAAAATTACTACATGACCCCTGGAGGGGAGACCAAAGCCTGAGCCTGCCCGAGCCACACCATCCTGGGGGAGGGGGAAAAGCCGAAGCCCAAGGGTTTCAGCCCCAGGTGGGGAGCCTGGAACTTGAGCCCCACCACCCAGGGCTGAAGCCCTCGGTCTTTGGCCCTGGGCAGTGGGGCTTGGGCTTCAGCCCTCAGTGGTAGAGTTGGGACTGGGACTGGGACTGAGGCATGGGCCCACACCCCAGCAACTCTAATACCAGCCCTGGTGACCCCGTTAAAATTGGGTTGCAACCACTTTGGGGTCCCGACCTGCAGTTTGAAAACCAGTTTGAAACTGGTGTAGGTTATGCATCTCTAGCAGCTCCCTGTACAGGACAGTCCCTAAGGACCTGGATTCTAAGCCCCGAGTGCTGCTCCTGCCCTTGTTCTGCCCCTTGGCTGGTCTCCAGTCCCCCTTGCTCACCACCCACCATAGCTCACTGCTGCTCGGTTCCTCCCCATCAGTTCCTGATCTACCAGGACCAGAGGATCAGGTACGGCAGTGCCCCAGGCCTGCAGCAGAGGGTGTCATTTGTGGCCCAGGACCCAAGCCTCTATGATGCCTCCATCCATCTGGCAAACCTGCAGATGTCAGACTCGGCCACCTACGAGTGCACGGTGAAGAAAGCCACTGTCGACACCCACCAGGTCACCGTTACTGTGCTCGGTGAGTCCCGCCCCTGCCTGCTGGCCCCTCACCCCCATCAGTGGCAGATTAGCCACTGGGCCAACCGGGCCCGTTTCCAGGGGCCCCAGCCAATTGGGGGCCCCCCAGAGAAATGGTTGCCCGTGCCCCAACCCACTCGCCCACCCAGCACTCCTGCTGGGGGGCAGGGGCTTGCTCTGCAGGCAAAAGGGGCCCCCACTTTCTCTGACCCAAGCCCCTACAAACCTCTAATCTGCCTCTGACTCCGACCCATCCACTGCCTACTGACCAAGCCCACTCACTGGCCCAACCCCTGCCAAGCCAACCCCACGCACTGACCTAACGCGAACCCTTGCCAACACCCCCCAGGTCACCCTTGTCGTGCTAGGTGAGTCCCACCTCCCTGTTGATCCCCCCCCCACCCATTGACCCACATTCTGCCTACTGACCCAACCCAACCCATTAACCCAAACCCACCCACTGACCCAAATTCCACCCACTCACCCAACACCAATCCCTGCTGACACCCACCAGGCCATCGTCACTGTGCTAGGTGAGTCCCACCAACCCTGCTGATCCCCCCATCCATTGACCCAACCCTCACTCATTAACCCACCCCCACCCACTGACCCACCCCCACCCACTGTCGACACCCACCAGGTCACTATCACTGTGCTAGGTGAGTTCCAATCCCCACCCACTGACCCAACCCACTAACCCAAACTCCACCTACTGACCCAACCCCCACAACCTAACCCTGCCCACAGATCTAAACTCCAACCACTGACCTTACCATCACTAGCACCCTCCACCCCCCGAGACCTGCCTCTGCCCACCGTCCCCGCCCGCCATTCCCTGTGGACAGACACTGCCTGCTGATCCGACCCTGCATGCCAGTCCCCATGTGCTGACCCTGCCTGCCAGTCCCCATACACCGACCCGAGGCCACTGATCCTGCCCATCAGTCCCAATGCTCCGACCCCAGGCCACCGACCCTGCCACCAGTCACCATCCCACTGACCCTGCCCGCCCGTCCCCATGCACTGAGCCTGCCCGCCTGTCCCCATACGCCGACCCCAGGCCACCGACCCTGCCCATCAGTCCCCATGTGCGACCCTAGGCCACCAACCCTGCCACCCAGTCACCATCCCACTGACCCTGCCCGCCCGTCCCCATACGCTGACCCTGCCCGCCTGTCCCCATACGCCGACCCCAGGCCACCGACCCTGCCCATCAGTCCCCATGCGCCGACCCCAGGCCACCAACCCTGCCACCCAATCACCATCCCACTGACCCCACCCGCCAGTCCCCATGTGCTGACTCCAGCCCACTGACCCTGCCCACCAGTCCCCATGCTCTGATCCCAGCCCACTAGGGTGACCAGACAGAAAATGTGAACAATCGGGACAGGGGGTGGGGGTAATAGGAGCCTATTTAAGAAAAAGACCCATAAATCAGGAGTGTCCCTATAAAATCGGGACATCTGGTCACCCTACAGCCCACCAACCCCTGTCCACCAATCCGTCTCTGCCTGCCCATTAGCAATCCCCATCCTCTGACTCCCCCTTTCAGGGGGCATTGCCACCTCATGCCTGCTGAACCCAGGCTCTGCCTGCCTGTCTGTCTATCTCTGAGCATGGCCGTGTCTGCCTGTCCATTCCTGCTGCTCCTTACTAGCTCCCATTAACTGTCGCAATTTGTGTCTCTCCCTAGAGAAGCCGGCCCCCCCTCGGTGCTGGATGGACGGGGAGCCGGTCAGGGGCGGCGACCTCATGCTTAGGTGCTGCTCTGACGGGGGCTCCCTTCCCCTCTCCTACCAGTGGTCCAAGATGGGAGGGGACTATGCCATGGGCTGGCTGCCCCCCAGAACAATGCAGGGTAAGCAGTGGGCGGGGGGTCCCTGTGAGGTGGGCTGCTCACTATGCTGAGCTCATCGTGGGGTGTTTGCCCCAGGATGGTGCAAGGGAGACGTGCGGGCCCCTGGAGGATGGGATGCTCTTGTGCTGAGCTGGGAGACTCCCCTTGGCAATGTCTATGACATGAGTTTCCTCAAGTCTTGGCACCTGGGGGACCCTTTTCATGGATGGAGCAGCCAGGGTGTTTTTGGGGGTGGGCCCAGGCATGGCCCTGATATGTTGCCAGGGGGCTCTGGCTGCCCTGCGCTGTCCCAGGGCCCCCTAGGGGTGGAGGAGCTGGTGACGCCTGTTGGGGGGTACTTTGTGGGGGCTCACTCAGAGCTGGGTCTCTCCTGTGCAGGGCAAGCCTCTGGGGACCTGATGATCCAGAGCCTGTCGCAGGAGCACTCCGGGACCTACGCCTGCCGCGTGACCAACAGGGTGGGCTACAGCCAGTGCATGGTGCGCGTCTCCATCCCTCGCGCCGGCTACACAGGTAGGATGGGGGGCACAAGGCCAGGACAGGGGCCCAGCGGGGCAGGACCTAAGTGTCTGGCAGTAGCTCCTTGTAGCTGAGCCCTGAGCCCAGGCTGGGCTGGAAGCGGGACCAGCCTGGTGTTGCGAGCGCCCCGAGGGGATGTCAGTGTGAGGGGCAGCCCGAGGGGCCGGAGCCTGAACAGAGCTCAGCTCCCAGCAGCCCACAGGGAGCACTGGAGACCCCCCTTCCCCATAGGAAACAATGGAGAGCCCCCACAGGGAACAATGGAGAACCCGCTTCCCCATAGGGAACAATGGAGAGCCCCCCATAGAGAACAATAGAGAACCCTCCCATAGGGAACAATGGAGACTCGGCCCCTCCTGGGCTCTGTGGCTGGCGCCCCATAGCTAGCGCTCTGCTGGGCTGTGATACTTTAGTGTAATCCCGGTTCTATGGGGGCGCTGTGGGGGGAGGGCTGGTGGGCTATGATGTGCGGGAGGGCAGACTGGATGATCTGATGGGTCCTTCTGGCCTTAACCTCTATGAGTCTAATCCCTCTTGCCTCCCGCATTGGGAACAATGACCCATAGACAACAATGGAGCTCCCCCATCCCCTCCCCCATTGCCGGGGCTGAGTCCTTTGACCAGTTGCCAGGGAGGGTCAGGTTCTTGGGGCTGAGCTGCAGCTCCAGGCTAAAGCACTGACCCCGCGCAGCAGGCACCTTCTCACAGGAGCTATTGCCCATGCAGGGCCCCATGGATTACATGGGCCAGGCCAGGGCCTCATGGGCAGCCCAGCAGGGGATGCCCATGGGGCATGCAGAGTGAATATGGCCCAGTGCCTGTCGGGCAGGGGTGTCAATGGGGCTCAGCGGCCAGAAGTCCCTGCGATGCTTTCTGGGCATGTGTCCCAGCCCGGTGCGGGGAGGGGAGAAGGTGACAGGTTTGCTCCCCTTCCGCAGGTTCAAGGAACGTGGGGCTCATTGTGGGCTCTGTCCTGGGGGCCATTTTCCTCCTGATCCTGCTGCTCTCGATCCTCTGGGCCCTCCTGTGGTATTGCAGACGGAGGCAGTGCCAGCCTGTGGTGCCCATCGAGATCAGGTGACGCCTCTGGGCTGGGGGAAGAGGGCGCCGCGGAAGGGAGGTGGGGAACAAGGGGGAGGGGGCAGGGAAAGAAAGGGGGTTAAGGAAAAAGAGGGGAAATGGGCAGAGCTTGGAAGAGGCTGGAACGATAGAGTGAGACCAGGGAGGAGGGAGCCCGAGGCTCAGGGTGACGCTGTGACCCGAAGCGGCTGCGTTGGCACCCAGAGCGACCATGCATACACCCTGAGGACGAGCAGACTGTGGGCAGGCCGGGCCCTGGCACAAAGTGAGCTGGCGGAGGGGGCTGGGTGCTAAAGGGACAGGGAGGAGTGACCTCACGCTGCCTATCCCTGCCCACAGAGACAGTGCCCCTGCTGGCCCATGCAGAAGTGGTCACCTGCACCCCTACCACGGCAGCGCGCAGCACGTCAGCTACACGCCGTGCCACAAGTAGCGCTCCCAGGGGCGGGGAGGAGAGCACCCCCTGCAAGCAGCGGGACTCCCAGCTACGCTCCAGCTCCAAGCAACCCAGGAAGCAAGAACCTCCCCGCTGTGTGCCCAGCCCCACGGCTCCATCCACCCTCTGTGCAGATCCAGGGAGCTCCAACGCTGCTCCTGCCCACGGGAAGCCCATGAACAATCCCAGCCGCTTCGGGGGCATCCCCAAGATGGCGCCGACGCAGGGCAGGGCTCTTGGGCTGAGCTCCCAGGGCAGTAGCAACATTCAGGGACCCAGCGCTGACCTTTGTGCCTCTTTCACAGGATTGCTGAGCCCTTTCCCCATTTCTGCCTGTGGGGAGTGGGAGAACCCCTCACCCGTGGCATAGCCACCCCCACGGCTAGGGAGACTCCTTAATGCACACAAACAAGGCCTAGAGCTGGTAATACTCCCCCCCCCCCACACACACAGTGGGGTGAGCTGTATCACGACATGTCAGGATGTGTGTCGTGACATGATGCACCCGGCACCAGCCACACACAAGTATGGAATGTGGTGGGGGAAGGGCAGACAGCACCGAGCAGCCTGGGAAGTGCCCCTCTACAGCTCAACACCTTGTTTCTCTAGGGAGCCCTGGGGTTTGCACAGCCTGTCCGGGTTCCGGCTGGAATGAGGGACACACCTTACTCATGGGCCGGGTGATGGGGGCAGGTGGGGAGGGGGCTCTCTGGACCAGGGATGATGGGGAGGGGGCTCCCTGGGGCTTGGGCGATGGGGTGAGATGGGGAGGGGGCTCTCTGGGCCAGGGATGATGTGGAGGGGGCTCCCTAGGGCTGGGGGTGATGGGGTCAGATGGGGAGGGGGCTCTCTGGGTCAGGGATGATGGGGAGGGGCTCCCTAGGGTTGGGGGTGATGGGGTCAGATGGGGAGCAGGCTCTCTGGATCAAGGGATGATGGGGTGAGATGCGGAGGGGGCTTCCTGGGGCCAGGGGATGAAGGGGTCAGATGGGGAGGGGGTTCTCTGGGCCAGGGATGATGAGGGGGGACTCCTTGGGGCTGGGGATGATGGGGTCAGGTGGGGAGGGGGTTCTCTAGGCCAAGAGTGATGGGGTCAAATGGGTAGGGAGCTCCCTGGGACTGGGATGATGGGATCAGGTGGGGGAAGGGGCTCCTAGGGGTGATGGGGACAGATGTTGAGGGGGCTCCTTGGAGCCAGGGGTGATGGGGTCAGGTGGGGAGGGAGCTCCCTGGGACTGGGATGATGGGGTCAGATGGGGGAAGGGGTTCCTAGGAGTGATGGGGACAGATGTTGAGGGGGGTCCCTGAGGTCAGGGTTGATGGGGTCTGATGGGGAGGGGTTTGGGGTGGGGGTTTGGGGTGAGGTGGGGTAGAAGCTTCTACACCAACTTTGGTTATTGCATGGTTCAGTCATCATGCTCTAGTGTGGCAGGCAGGGAACCCAGACTCCTGGGTTCTGTTTCCACCTCTACTACTGATGTGTCCCTGTGTGACCTTGGGCAACTCCCTTTCCCAAGCTGTGCCTCAGTTTCTGCCTCTGTAGACTGTGGCTGGTGATGCGCCCTTCGTCTGTGGAGGCTGGTGTAAGAGCCGAGTGGCACTGTTCCCAGGAGAGAGGTATCAGTCTGTAGATCATGTGTGTCGCACAGGGAGTACCAGGCTGGCCACAGCGAGTGGCATGTACAGAGCAGTTCCATTAAAGGAGTCAAACGGACTGAATCATTTATGGGAAGTGTCCTCTAACACCATCAGAAGGAGAGTCACGCCCCCCTACAGCGAGCGTCCCAGGGCAATTGATGGGGCTGAGACCTCCTCCCCGCCTGGCTACAGGCTGGGGAGGGTGTGAGGGCAGTACCTCATTAGAGCCACGCATGGGTACGCACACACACACGCAGCCCTCTCACAGCATGCTTGCACACACATACAACACACACACATACACACCTTTTCTGTGGCAGACTCTGGGCCTGCGTGGGCACACGGGATCCCTTCAGACCCTGTCACCCCTTTGTCCCCATTCTCTTTCTCTTGGTCCCATCAGGACAATGCTGTCATGGCTCCGCAGCCATGGCCCCACACAGGCCCCAGGAGAGGGGAGCTTCCAGTCCCAGCTCCTGCTCCAAACTACTCTCCCTGCTGCCCGGGAGCCATCACTGCCTGCCCAGCCTCCTTGTCCAGCTGGGCCGGGGGCCATGGAGCTCGGATTGACCCTTTGAATGACTGTAATTAACCATTGGAACAATTCACCAGGGGTCGTGATGGAGTCTCCATCACTGACAGATTTTAGACCAAGCTGAGATGTTTCCCTAACAGCTCTGCTCTAGGAATCATCTGGGGGCAGATCTCTGGCCTGGGTTATCCAGGAGGTCAGACTAGATGATCACCCTGGTCCCTTCTGGCCTTGGAATCCATGAATCTTTTATATACTCTTCTCCGGTTACTAAGCGCAACAGCCCCAGCCTTGTCCAATCAGGTGACGGAACAGAGAGGAAGGGGAGATGAAGGCAGCTGAGTACTGGGAGGGCAGTGGGAAGGGAGGATGAGGTGCAGCAGCCCCTAATGCTTGCCCATCCCCCACCCTGCAAAACATCAGTGCCCCCCAGAACAATCCCCCCACAGCGCCAGTCTGCTCAGCCCAGCTCCCATCATCTTTCCCTGCCCTTGGCACATAGGGCTGGGCAAGTGGAGAGCGTTCTGAACTGGGGCGCAGGAGCCTGAGCTTCTCTTCTCAGCTCTGCCACTGGCTTTGTGTTATAACCTTGAGCCAATCCCCTAGCCCCTCCTGTGCCTCAGCTGTCATCTGTACAACAGGGATGGCCCTTCCCTGCCCGCAGGGCCTGAGACTAAGGGTTTGTCTACACTTACAGCACTGTAGCAGTGAAGAGAAGCAGAGAAGACACTACCTACGCCGATGGGAGAAGCTCCCCTGTTGGCGTTGGTACTCCACCTCCCCAAGAAGCGGTCGCTATTGATGGGAGAAGCCCCTCCGCCGACACAGTGCTGTCTACACCAGGGGTTACACCTCTGAGCGATGTAGTGATACCAAAATTTGTTGGTAGCGCAGACCAAGCCTAAAACCCATCGATGACTGTGGCTCGGACGCCCTGGTGGCGAGGGGCAGAGTTGTCTCCATTCAGCATGAAGCATGGGCAGCAAGAGCGGGGGAAGTGCCCTGAAAGTAGGGGGCACCACAGGTGCCCGAACCATGGCCCCGCCCCCCGCTGCCCCACACAGCACCACCACGACCCCACCTCCACACCGCCCCTTCTCCCCAAGGCCCCGATTCCCTCCGAGGTCCCACGCTCGCACCGCCTCTTCCCCTGAGGCCCCGATTCCCCCTGAGGCCCTGCCCTCACATCGCCTCTTCCCCTGAGGCCCCATCCCCGCACCGCCCATTTTCCCCAAGCCCCTGATTCCCTCCGAGGCCCCATCCCTGCACCGCTTCTTTCCCCTGCGGCCTCATCCCCACATCGCCTCTCCTTAGGGTAACCAGATGTCCCAATTTTATAGGGATAGTCCAGATTTTGGGGGCTTTGTCTTATACAGGCACCTATTACCGCCGTTCCCATTCCAATTTTTTACACTTGCTATCTGGTCACCCTACCTCTTCCCCCAAGGCCCCATCCCTGCACCGCCCCTTCCCCCCGAGGCTCCGATTCCCCCCGAGGCCCCATCCCCGCACCGCCCCTTCTCCCTGAGGCCCCGATTCCCCCCGAGGCCCCGATTCCTCCCACACCGCCTGTTCCCCCCAAGGCCCCGCCCTTCATTCACTCCTCTTCGCCCCCTCCCCCCATCACTCACCCTTTCAGCTGGTAAAAAGTGGAGGGGCCATGGCCTTCTGGCTCCCCTCCCCCGCCCCCGTTCCGTTGCCCCTGATGGGCAGGGTGATCTTCAGGAGCCCAGAGCAAGTGGGGGCAGCTCAGAGCCATTAGAGATGCAGGCAGGGGCCCAGGAGGAATGGTGTCTGTGCTGCCACAGCAGGAGTTAGGAGGCGTGGAAAGAGCCTCAGGGGAGAAGGCCAGTCAAGCCCACCCCAGCTGCAAATACAGCCAAAGAAACAGGAGTGTAACCTGCTTCTGACTCAGTGCCTCTGGGAAACAGGCACCCTGGCTGAATGATCCAGCCAGGGCGCCGGAATAGGGAGCGCCAGGGGGCCATGGCCCCATCACTTTTCCCCGCCTGTAAGGGCAAGCGACAGGGGGTGTGGGCAGAGAAGAGTGAGCAGGGGCGGGGCTTCAGGGGGAATGGCCGGTCTGAGGGCGGGGACTCAGGGGGAATGGGCTGTGTGAGGGAGGGGCCTCAGGGGGAATGGCAGGTGCGAGAGCAGGGACTCAAGGGGAATGGGCGGCGCGAGGGTGGGGACTCGGGGGATGGGCGGCGCGAGGGCGGGGACTCGGGGGGGATGGGTGGCGCGAGGGCGGGGACGCAGGGGGGATGGGCGGTGCAAGGGCAGGGACTCAGGGGGATGGGCGGTGCAAGGGTGGGGACTCAGGGGGAATGGGCAGTGCGAGGGCAGGGACTCAGGGGGAATGAGCGGTGTGAGGGCAAGGCCATGGTTTGGGTGCCAGTGGCCCCCCCACTTTTAGGGAGTTTCCACCACTCCTGGCTCCAGCCCATGTACCTCATGCCCCTTTTACCTCTCCTTAGTGAATCTGCTCCTTAGATCGCCACTCCCCCCATATCCTTGACTAACAGACAGTCACCTCCAGAAGATCGCCATAAAGACAGGTGTGGGCCAGGGAGAGAATACAGCAGGGAGCCTCGGGCACCAGCTGTACTCCATTCACCCCATCAGTCATGGCGTTGCTCAGGCACAGTCAGGGAATTGTCTGACAGGTTTTGTAGCAACTCATTGTAGTTGCTCGAAATTAAATACCAAGCACATAAATGACAGAGCACTAAAGTCACAGCGTTGATGTGATTTACTTCCACTTCTGTAAGGCGTTGGACTTGGTCCTGTGCAACATTTTGATTAAATAACTAGACTGATATAAAATTAATATGGCACATATTAGATGGATTTAAAACTGCTAACTGACAGATCGCAAAATGTAATTGCAAAAGGGGACTCACATCATGGAGTAAGTGTGTTTCAAATGGGATCCCAGGTGGATGGGTTCTTGGCACTACACTATTTAACATTTTTATTAATGATCTGGGAGAAAACAGACTCCTCACTGATAAAGGTTGTAGATCAGGGGTTCTCAACCTTTTTCTTTCTAAGGCCCCCCAACATGCTATAAAAACTCCACGGCCCACCTGTGCCACAATTGTTTTTCTGTATATGAAAGCCAGGACTGGCGTTAGGGGTAGCAAGCAGGGCAATTGCCTGCGGCCTCATGCCACAGAGGGTCCCCGCAAAGCTAAGTTGTTCAGGTTTCAGCTTCAGCCCCAGGAGGCGGGGCTCAGTGCCCCGGGCTTCAACCCCGCATGGTGCAGCTTCAGCTTTCAGCCCTGGGCCCCAGCAAGTCTAATCCTGGCCCTGAAACCTGCTTATGGCCCCCCAAGGGCCCTCGGACCCCCGTTTGAGAACCATTGTTGTAGATGACACAAAGATTGGTAGAGGGGTAAACCATGAAGAGGGCACGTTCAGAGCGACCTGGATCACTTGTTATTCTGGTTGCAAGCAGACAACATTTGTTTAATGTGACCAAAGTTAAAGTTACACA